GTAGTAGCAGCAGCAGCAGCAGCACGAGTTTTTGTATTCGAAGCAGCAGCTGTGGATCTGGAAGAGGATGATGATGATGAGGAGGACTGGTGGTGGCAGAAAAGAAAAGTACGGCTTAAGGCTTAAGGTCGAGACTTCGGCAGCAGCATCCCTATCAATTGCGCATGCAATCATTGAATGAAATACCCGAAAAAGACCCTTAAGGGTTGATTCCCAGGCCCAGTAGGGCCTGAACCTTGAAGAAGACTTTCGGAGTGCGGGGTTCTGGATTTACCCAGGGCCAGCGCGGACTGCCAACGCGTCGGACTGCCGTGAGGAGGTCCCGGTGACGGAGGAAAGCTGCACTCTGAAGGCCGGTGATACAATTTATTCAGGGATCTGGCTGAGGATGTTACGGCTTCAGGGATTTGGGACTTGAGGGTTGTAGGATATGGGGTCTTCAGGAGGGATTGCGGGCTGCATGGTTTTAGGGTCCAGGCTGCACTTTGAAGACCGTGCAGGACTCAGGAGGTATAGGTTTAGGCTTCATGCAGCGGTTAAGGGTTCAGCATTTGTGCTTCAAGGTGCGAAGATATTGAATTATTTCGGGTGGCTACTCGCTATTGCTGAAATGGTGCTATACTGGAGTACTATAGTGCCATTCCTCTATCTATCACTTGGCTTTTGGGAGGGTGCTCCAAAAATCTGGTCCCTTCGGATGTCCGCTGTAGAGTAGAATTATCACTATCCCATGGGCAAGGACATCCAGCGGTCGATTTTTCCGAGTCCTCGGACATCTGGATCTACCCGTGGCCGGTAGTTTTGGTTTGCGAACTCTCCAGAATCTGCGTCCCAACATGATTCTTCAACATGATCAACAAGCAAGTCTTGCAAGGCACCATTGTTCAGTTCATCTCCCCAACCTACCCAAACAGGCATGTGCCACCTTTCGTCTGCGCAATCGCGTGGAGCTGCAGTCCGGGTGGCACGCGGCTCCGAAGAAATTACTATGACAACTCCGAAAAGCCAGGTTGCGATCGGACTGGGGGCTGGATTGAAGCGCAGCTGAAGCTTCCAGCGAGGCTTTGAGGTGTTTTTGTTGAGACAGAAAGCCCAAATACCGTAGACTTAGACTCTAGAAGGTCTCTTTGTATGATCGAATGATACTTCAGGTGTGTGGGGCTCGCTGTGCAAGCAGTATGATGAGAATCCAAAGCAAGCTTTCGGTACAATGATTGCAGTTTCTCTCGGTACCTAGGCCCCCCGCCCAACAAAAACCGCAACCACAAGGGCCGTGAACCCTCGTACCCTAAGCCTGAACTTTCTCGAATCCCCCATTTAAGCTCAACGCTAAACCTCTAAAGTCCCTGAACCGAGAGAAGCATAAGCTGAAGCCCGAGGCCGAATAGAGCCGAGTTAGCCGCGAGCTCCTCACAAAAATCTGATTGGAGGCTAGGAGACGTCGAAGAGGGTGCTAAATTACATACTGACATACTTTACACATATGGTCCGGTTTGGGGTCTGCGAGGGTTCAAGGCCAACCCAGTCGTAAGGTCATCGA